GTTGACCATGCTACTTGACAGGATCCTCATGTAGTCCGAGTTTAACAGTCCTAGTGGATCCATAGATAAGTGAAGTTTGAAGATTTTTGGAAACAAGAAGTTCAGTCAGCAGTGTATGGTTGAAAGTTACAATCATTGGAGGCTGTGATAAGAAGTCATAGACCTTGCTGGACAGATCTTAACTAGATAAAGAGTCACTGGGCATGTGATGGTTCCATAGTAACCCTTCCAGATATAGCCAGAAAAGTGATATCTCATCAGTGTTTGATTGCTATGGATTCACTGGGCAAGTGAAAAAGGATTTTTTCCTGTCTGTGTGGCTGAAACTTTCTTATATTCTAGGGACCAAATAACTGAAACAGCTGTGAAACTCCAATTTGTATTTATAACCTATGCACACAAACATAAAATCATTCCTGATCTCACCAACAGATTCGGGAGCAGTGTTAATAAATAAAAAAATTCAGAAGTATCTGCAAAATTATGAATATTTCAGTTCCCTCAAATACAAAATATTTCTTCACGAACACCAGTGAAAACTGTGGATCTATGATGTGGTGTGGTGTAGTTTATAAGTATCACAGTTTGGGAACAAGCCAGACATTCTAAGAAAACACATCATGTTTGTATCACTAAGCAAAACAATGCATTTTTTAATGAACGTAATCATCACAGTATTTCAAATAAATTCTTTATTTATCTAAAATATTGTGTTTTTTATATATTACATTTGTGTACCTACTTAAATATTCAGGAATTTCTTGATGCATGATGTAAGACACATGTATTAATATCTACAACTTTATCTCAACATCACATATTAATCATTGTATATCAGAGTATATGATGTCATTACTCGTCAAGGCTTATAACCATAGCTATGCACACATGTGTCTCAGCATCACATATCAACCATTGTATAACTGTTGTATGTGATGTCATCACTTGTCAGCTAGTCTGATAACAGCATGTATACGCACATACCATAGCTATATATGCACATTTAACTCAACATATGTGGTATATTATGTCATTACTTTGGGTTTCTCCTAGACACCTATTAAAATTTTTCTCTTGAGTACGGATCTCGAATGTAGACGTAGCTCTCACCACAGTTAGATGAAGATCTCGGTCCATAGAGTACAGATCTAGAACTAGGACATAGCTCTAACCACAGTTAGATGAAGCTCTCAGTCCATAGAGTACAGATCTAGAATGTGGACGTAGCTCTAACCACAGTTAGATGAAGCTCTCGGTCCATAGAGTACAGATCTAGAATGTGGACGTAGCTCTAACCACAGTTAGATGAAGCTCTCTGTCCATAGAGAACTTCTCCTAGTTTACAAATTATGTTCACACTTGATTCTCCATTGTATGATAACTTTTACTTGGTCGTATAAAGTGCACTACCATGATTGTGGTTTACAAACTTCACAGCACCAGGGTCTAGTAGAAAATGTAGCATTTTAAAAGTAAACTCCTCGATAAACAAATTCTGGTCTCTGTACCAAAATGTAATTTATTTACTTAGTTTATGATTTTGAAGTACACTATTTTCTACAGTTGATTATAATGTATTCCATATATTTATATCAGGTTCTGGAAATATCATGCAAAGAATAAAATAATCATGACATCAAAGTAAAAACGAGCAAACAAATAAAAAATGATCTTTATTTGAAAGTAATATAACTGCTTTAAAGTTTACCAGTTTTTGTTAGATTTCATATTTGGCATTGATCTCTGACTTTTGGAGCTGGAGAAAAACATATCTACACAAAATAAAGAGAATCAGACCAAGGTCCTAGTGCCCTGATGTTTGAAAAACACGAGTGCTGTAAACAGCCCCCACCAAACAGTACATGGCGGTTATTAAAGGGTTGATGCCAGATCTCAATTTTTTGTTACTGTACAAAACTGGACAGTAAATGCTAACTTGTATAGACTGAACTTGTATACTTGTTTTTTTTACCATAGGCAATATCTAATAGCATAATAGAATAGAAAAGGCATCCAACACAGTTGCATTTCAACAACAGTTACGTTAAGTTCGATTCAACTATCTGTAAACTAACCAAAGTTATCGCTATGGGCAACAGTATTGCTGTTGTTTTGGTGTCTCTCTGTATGCATTTCTTTGAGTCATCAATTCTTACTCATTGGAATTTTTAAACTAATCTTGAACCAGCCTGGTGGTACAAATATATTGATGAAATTTTCGAAACATGGAATCATGGACTCTCTTCTCTTTTGGAATTTGTTGAATTCCTTAATAATCAAAACCTCGACATAAGGGTCTCACTTACCCATACTGATAATATCTGGAAGTTTACACCCTTTCTTGATGCCATGGTCACTATTGAAAACAGCAAACTTGTTACTACTATATATTCCAAACCATGTGTTAAACTCGTTATTCTACACTATAACTCGCACCAGCTACCAAACTGGGTGTCATGATCGGTCAACTTACTAGGATTGAAAACACCTGCAACACCATGGATGGTAAAGCCAAGATGGAACATCAAAAGCTACTGTTGTCCAATGGCTATCCACATAAATACATTACTAAGACATTCCAAACTGGGTGTCATGATCGGTCAACTTACTAGGATTGAAAACACCTGCAACACCATGGATGGTAAAGCCAAGATGGAACATCAAAAGCTACTGTTGTCCAATGGCTATCCACATAAATACATTACTAAGACATTCCACAATTTTTACACACAAGATTTTATACAACAGCAACGAAAAGAATCCATCACATCAGTAAACTATCTCATGGATTATGCCCTTCACGGATAAACCTTTAACTACTCGTTTTTGTCAAACGATTAGAAGATCTGGTTTGAATATCCACATCACACAAAAACCCACTAAAAACTGAAGAATATACTTGTTCATTTAGCCTTCAATAAAAATAATCTATGCAAATCCAAAAAGTTTTTTGCTCAGACCAATGGCTTAGAGAAATCCTGCACACTTAGGAACACCATCTTTGAAATGACATGTACACATAGTTCAGCCATATATATAGGTAAATCCAGTTGTCCTATTCATGATCACTTCAAAGAACATTTTCGTGCCACCACAAATCTTGACAACAAAGAAGCCATTGCTGAACATTGCATCAACATACACAGCATAATTAATGAGATCAAAGTGTTAGAGATTTGTGACAACTTTCTTTACAGAAAACTTAAAGAATCTCTTTTGATTCAATCCAAATGCCCTTTCAGTAACAGCTACAATGCCTGGCTCCTATAATACTGTAATTATTATTATTTATGCTTTTATTTATTTATTTTTTGTATTTTCTTTTGTAATCAGAGCTACATTTGAAGAGAGATCATAGAAACAGAGGGACCATCACTAACAGTACCACTGGTGTCAAGAAGAGACTTATCATTTTCAAGCAACTTTTTAAAGCCTTAAAAGTAGAAATGTATAAACATATACATTTTGTGCAACATACATTGTAATAAAACAATTGAATAAGAACAGCAAAGCTTGAATTAATAAAATATATGGACAGTAAAATCTATATGACAAATAATCCTAGTGATTGATAATTTACCCAAAACAACATATGTATAGACCTGCCAGTTTATAAAAAATAACCAAACATCATTGATCAGGTAATACATAATATTTAATTATGTTTTACTTAAATGATAAAGGCCACAAAATCATTTCTCTAATTACCTTAGTATATGCTTACTTGAAACAAAGATGACAAATAACTAAATCTAAAGCTCACAAGGAACTAGAAAATCAGTTAAGTGCATATCATTAAGTTTGGTCTTGGTCAGTAACTTGTAAATGCATAAAAAGACAATGACAATTTTAATGTAAAATAAGCGTATTTAAATCACTGAATGTGTTTAACACACAAACAGCTGTTTTGGGAACCCTTTGCCTTATGTAGATGCTTCCAATTTTTATAGTAACATAGGCATAAAAAGGCAACATTGGGTTTATTTTTGAATCAAAGGCAATATTATACTCAGTATATTGACTGTAAAATATAAGTAGTTGATGATACTGGCTGTATATATAATGACAAACAATGAAGGGATATTGTGATAACTTTGAGTAACGCGTACAAAAACAAGATAAGAAATATACAACCTAAGGTAGTTTGGTGAGTTTTAGAATTGAAATTGTGAGTGACAGTATAGTTCGTTATGAATTTAATGTCACTCTCACTGATTGCACCCTTTCACTTCTTTCCTGATCTTCTCACTGTATTTAGTTTGCACCAAGTTTTTGTTACAATCTCTCTTCCTAAGGTGTTCTTTGAAGAAGAAAATCCTATTTGTCCACTGAGATTCCATTTGCCAAATGTTGACAACAAAACAGTTTCTACTTGCCAAATTAAGACATCTTCACAATTGAAAGTGAAACCAGAACTGAATTATGATGATCTCTAGTCAATATGATAACCATTTCAGTCTAGTGTCATGTAGAAAGTGAAAATAGTGTATCAAATGTAACTTAGATCATGATCAAATAGTTTATCAAATGTAATTTAGATCATGATCAAAAAGTTTATCAAATGTAATTTAGATCAGATTTGTTAAAGCTCTTCTTGCTTCTTTGAATTTGCTAATTATTAATAACTAATCTTATAATTTAAACTTTAACACTTTAACTTAATTTCCAGTTATATTGGATGTCAATATAATAGAACAATGTAGCTCAAAATATTGTATTACTGTCCACTTAACATCTCTAGTAAAGTACCGGCATTGTAGCAGCTAAAGGAGTCACACAAAGTTATCTGTAGTAAACAAGCAACAGCTAATTACATGAACAGCAAGCTCTAATAATTCCTTGTCAAACCCATTTTATAGTTGCTTATGAGCATTAGTTCTATGGTGACGTGAAGGCCTGTTTTTACAAGTCTTTGTACAACCCTCCAAAAGCATGACACAGAATCAAGTATAAGCTCAATCCCTGTGGTATGAACCATTGTTTAAGCTAGAGGATTAAAGCAAATTGGTGAAGTTTTCTCTTCTGTTTTACAAGGATGTTATTCACTAATTACATGCAGGAAACCGGCAGGAAAATTTTGAAAAATCTACCTGAATATAAAGGTATCTTCTTCACAAGTTAATGAAGACGAGATATTACAATTCTTTTAATTGCTTATTTTTGTATGCTTTTATGTACCTTTCCCATGTGCTTTGGGGTTTTGTGCATTTATTTTTGTATAGTCAGACATTTATTGTTATACTTGAGTTATTGTTCTCATTTTAATACATTTCTATATCTGTGTCCGATACATTTATACCTGTGTGAATTTATAGGTGATTCTAGTACAAATATACAGATTATTCATTGAATAGCTGTTATTAAAAATTAAGATTAAACATCTTTAGATAGAATTATAAAAGTAGATTTTTTCATTTATTTCCTTTGTGTTGAATGTTTGTTTCATAAAGGTCTTTTGTTTTTGACATTTCAGTACAAACTGCTACTATATAAAGGAAAGCAGCAACAGATTACATCGGCAAATATTTCTCAAACCTTTAAGTTCACAGTAAGTTTTAAACTTTATTATAAATAAATACAAAAGATAACTCATAACACTGGGAAAAGTTCATTAAGTATGCCTTATTATCATAGGCTCCATGAATCAAGGAGTGTCCCACCCATTAAATATAAAACGTCTCTTCCAATTTTTATAGATGTATTGTAAATATGTGTAGAATAGCACCAGTTGAGATGTAAATAAATAAAGCTGTCTTCAGGGAATTTACTGCTACCAAGATTAACAGTTAAATTAAAATATTGATTTAGATCATAAGATTGGCATCAATTTAGATATAAATAAAACTATGTGCAGAGAATATCTTATCATCCAGATTAATAGCTGGTCACCAAAGTACTTTAAACTAAAATCAGTATATTAATTTAGATCATAAAACTGAGTCAATGGTGATTTAATAAGCATACAATTGAATTGTATACAGACTTTTGGTTAAGTGTGAATAATAACTTGCATATTAATTTTTTATATATAATTTTTATCACCTTGATATTTTGGTCAAATACAATATATGATAAATATTGCTAGTTAACCATATATTTCAAACTTTTCAGGTTCAACAGAACAAATATGCTTATTTTTATGATAATCAACGAAGTTCCTGGACAGTTATGTTTGAGTCTGAGGACAACCAAATAGAATTTGCCAAACAGGTTTGGTTGTTTTTGCTTTATACAAGTTATTGTTTTTTCTTGTTATATGGTATTAATGTTGAATTTTTCCCAAAAACATGTTACAAGTAGGATATTTATAAAGTTAACCTTATCTTGATGGGTTTTCCTATCATCAGGGGTCAAAGGGCTTGTCATTAGGCTTGTAGTCATAGAATCACACAATACCAACATCATTTACAAAATAACATGCAATAACTGCCCAGAATTCTACATCAGAGGAACAGGAAGAAAATTGGAAACCAGATTCACAGAACACAATAAAAAATCGTCCCATGTTTTCCACCATTGCAACTCAAAAAACCACAGTATATCTATTAAAAACACAGTAATTTTAAACACAGAACCAAACATAAACAAAAGAAAAACAAGGAATCCATCTTAATTGAACAAAACAAACCTGCTCTAAACCAACACCATGGGGTGACAAGATATCTTTTTTTTAAGCTTGCAACAGTATCCAGTCATGTGACCTCTTTGTTCCATACGATATATATATATATATATC